TTTTTTTTGGAAGATAAGTTGGATTCAAAAATCAATTCCCACTCTTACGCTAATACCAAACATGGACAAAAGCTTGTCTGCAGCATTTGAAAGAGCCACAACGACCGCTTGTTTATTAGCCAATTACGTTTCTGAGAAAGTTTGTTTGATGGCACACTACGAAGTCAAACCCATTAACTCAATAGGGACATACATTCCAGATTTGCTCGCATTTCAACATAAGATTTTCGAACTGTAATATTTACTCGCATCCATAAATAACTATAAATATTCCTGAAGTGTCATGAATTGCTCGGTAGCACATCAATATTAACCATGCTTGAGAAACGAATCAAGAATTCCAAACAACGAGGCGATGTTTGCTCCTCCACGATTTCGTCTGAAACAGTCAAAAATAACAACTAAAAAGTTGTGAGCATCCCTAAGTGAATCATTTCTTACCCTATTGCTCTGGGAAAATCCTTAAGTATAAGTGTTTCAAAAGTGTTGTCAATTCCTGCTTCGTTAGCAGCCAGGAGCCCAGTCAAGCCGCCATTACCCTCCCATGCTGCCGGTGGCGGTGTTGGAATAGAATCAGAATCTAAACATAACTTATAACAATATGAGAAGCCTGGAAGTGCTATATGAAGATTAGGAAGAATAGCAGAATTTATACATAGTACTTGCTAGAAAGCGGGCTTTGTTTGAGTCATAGTGAAACCACCTATGATGAATCTCAGCGTGAAGTTTGACGGAACCCGATGAGAGATACTCGAAACGATGACCTGGTTCCCTTCTGACAAAATTCTTCCTGGAGTCGGATTACAGCATTGTCTGAAGATTCTTTCTAGCTGGTAACGTCTATCAATGCGTAAAGCTTACCTAAACCCTGTCTGCTCCATGTTCTTCGTATGTTTTATTTCTAAGTATTCATCTGCACACGACGAATCACAAACGAAATTAGTTTCTATGACCTCTACATGGATACGGCCGGAGGGTGCCTGAATTGTCGGACGATTGGTGACAATGAAACTTTTTTAATTTATTTCTCTTCCACAGTTCTTCACTTTAGAAGAGAAATGTACGAAGAGGAATTTCACTCACATACAACCTCCAATGACAAGATCCGACTACGGAATTTCTCAGAGTCTGCCAGGCCGCTGTTGCGAACATTTCTCCACCGCAACCGGCTAAAAGCTTATTTTTCCACTGCAAAAAAAGAACATTCGCACTGCCTACGCGCACTCACGCGTTGAATCAGCAATTCGTTCACAGCGCAATCCGCCCAAACCAGGTGGGCATTTGCAGTGATTACAGTTTCTAGGATCTTCATATCCGCCATTTTCACACATCAGATTTGTTTTGCAGATGTCTGTAAGTTCGAATAATGTAGCGGTAAACTCATCTAATTTCACTGTCACCAACGTGAGCAATACAAGCGATTCGCATGCTTAACGTCGATGAAGGATATATCTGCACGTTGCCCGATTGTATGCTGGAATCGGTGGTCCTGAAAGTTCGTCTTACACATATCTCACTTAGCCAGTCGAAGCTTTTTTGCTTCAGCTTAGACAATGATGTCACAGAGATTTTTTCAACAGCTTTAGACCTGGTGGTAACCTATAGGCAAGCACACGTTACAAAAACATAGCTTAATTTTCTGGGATAGATTCTGAGCAGGGCTCGGTAAAGGTGGCAAAGCAAGCTGGATATCTTTTGGGACAAAAAGGAAAGGTGATATCGTTTTTGAAGCCGAAAAGACACAAAAATTGTGACGTTTTTTTAGTCGACATTTCGTTTTCAAGTTTTTTATGTTTGAGGTTCAGGGTCAAAGGGGACTTCGAAAGATTTTGCAAAAGTCAAGGGAGACTTCGTCTTTACATTTTCGGAAAGCCACTTCGTGGTGAGCCATGATGAAGTATGCTTGGAATGGCAAAAATTGGAGCAGTGAAAGAAGGGGACTCATTACAGTGACAGACACTAGTGTGCGAAGTTTGTGATATACCTTCGTCTCGATAGTAACAAATTTCCAATTATTCGTGAAGGCTTGCGGACCATAGTGCATCACGGAGCCAAAGTCATACGGTATGTCTGAGTCCATAATGTCGTTGCGCTTTTCGAAATTGCCCTGGAGTACACGATTTTTCGGAACAGGACAAGGCCAGAAAATGGCACCTTGGTCCCTCTGCTAATATTTTCCTCGTTGATATTGATGTAAACGTCTCTATCCGGGCGACTTTGCTCGTGCCAGAAACCAAGGGCATGTCCAATCTCGTGCGCTACGATGCCGCCCTGGAATCAGCTTCACTTTCGGATGAAAAAATATGAGGACGAGCAAATTACCCCTTCGCAGCCCCAACCGATTGAAACGTACTGACGCCCACCAGTCCTTCCAACATTAGAGTAACAACTGAAATGTCCGTGATGTTATTATAAATGCTCAGAATTGATTATTTTCAATTAAAAAAACCGACCCTCCTCCTTTGAAGAAAACCGCATAGTCTTTCTCAGAGCTTCTTCTAACGAAACGAATGCACGTCTCTTTTTGCCATTTGTACATTCCTTTTCGGATTATAGCCTGCCACTCAGCTGCAATACTTGGCTTTAAAATTCTGAGTAAGCAAATACATGGGGAAGTCTTCATACCGTACGCACAACATAACATAGCAAATAACTCAAAGAAAAGATGGAAGAAATAATCGAGTTCCTCACTGTTGTTATCCTTGAACTCATACGGAACTGTCGCATTTGGCCATCTAAAATTTTCTCCTTTTATGGCAGCATTTCTTCTCACTCTTGGTTTTCGACCTAAAAGCAGCGATAATAAGAACACAAAAAA